TTTGACAGCATTTTTGTTGTCGTAGATCGGCTTACAAAGATGGCACATTTTTTCCCTTGCAAGAAGACATCGTCAAGCGAAGACACAGCAAGACTCTTTCTTGATAATGTGTATCGATATCATGGTCTACCAGATGATATCGTATCGGATCGAGGAACCCAGTTTGTGTCAAAGTTTTGGAAATCTCTTTTTGAGATATTGAAGGTGGATATCAAGCTTTCTTCGGCATTTCATCCTCAAACGGACGGCCAAACAGAACGAGTGAATCAAGTTTTAGAGCAATATTTACGTTGCACCATCAACTATCAACAAGATGATTGGGCCGCATATCTACCGCTAGCCCAGTTCGCATATAACAACACCCTTCATGCGTCAACTCAACAAATGCCATTCTTTTCCAATTATGGATACCATCCGAAGCTTGACTTATGGAGTTCGTCAACGATTAACAATCCGGCAGCTGAAGGATTGGTGAAGGAGCTTTCGCAACTTCAAACTATATTGAAGCTTCAAATGCAAACTGCCCAAGAATCTTACAAGGCGTTCGCGGACAAATTTTGGAATCAGGCACCTAAATTCACGATTGGAGACAAAGTTTGGCTGCTTCGACGAAATATTAAGACCAAGCGGCCATGTGAAAAATTGGACTATCGAAGATTGGGATCATTTGTTATCCAGAAGCAGATCAATCCTGTAGCGTATCGTTTGGAGTTACCAGCTACTATGAAGGTACATCCTGTCTTTCATGTTTCTTTGTTGGAGCCTTATCGAGAATCGTCTTTTCCTGGAAGAGTACAATGTCCACCACCTAGCATAGAAATAGAGAACCACGAAGAATACGAGGTGGAAAAGGTCCTGGATTCACGGCAAAGACGGGGTAAATTAGAATACTTTGTGCATTGGAGCAGTTACGATATTAATGAACGAACATGGGAGCCGGCCAAAAATCTCGCGAATGCGCCGCAAAAGGTACAGGAGTTTCATCGACGATATTCTGAGAAACCCAAGCCGGTTCGACGATAGCTTCTTACTGAAGCTTGCTCATCCAAAAAACAGAAAAGAGGAGAGAGCACCACCAAAATCCATAGTTGATGTAGTCATTCTCTCCAAGATAGCGTAGAACTTTGTTAGTAGCCCAAGTTTGTTCTTATTCTTTTAGCCTTTGAATATGGATAGCCAAGATACTACACTTGTCATGTCATCTCAAGCAACTAGCTCACGAAGACGACCGCGAGATGAAGAACCGCCTGCACCACGACGACGTCGAAGGATTCCGAGCAACAGATCGCTGGTGATTGTATTTGAGGTCTAGCCTGCCTACAATGGTCAGCCAGAAGGAGTGTTTGCAGGATAATTTCACAATGAAGACACGGAGGTTCATGCTTGGTCAGAAGTTGAAGGCGTGGGCCACTACCATTGGCTTCAAGGACCATTGAATCACTTGCCTCATGAACAACAATTGGAGTTCATAGCAGAGGTTATGCGACAGATCTTCATTTTCTTGCGTTGGTATTGACTGACGATAACATTGCTTCTCGGAGACCTCGAAGCTAAAGGAGGAGGTGATGTTAGGGACATAGTCCTTAGACCTTTCTAGAGACAAGTTTCTAGAACCTTCTAGAAAGAAGTCTCTAGAAACTTCCAGAAGATCCCTTGAATATTTTCTTAGAATATTCTTCAAAGATTCCCTAAAGATTCTTTGAAGATTCCCTAAAGATTCCCATAGAAGGCTTTAGAAGATTCTTAGAATATTCTAGTAGATTCTAGGAAGTTACTTGAGAAGCTTCCTAGCTCTTGGATAGTTGCTCGAGAAGCTTCATAGTTCTTGGGAAGCTTCTTGATGCGCTTCCTTAGAACCATAGGCCAATAGTATATATAGGAGTCGAGGCTGAAGAGTTCTTCAGTCTCGACAACACATCTCTTGGAGTTCTAGCTCACCTTTCTGGTGTTGTTCTTGTACTCATCTGTTTAATCTAGTTCTGCCACTTCTTCTTGAACTTCTTGTTAGATTTCAAGTCTGTATTTTGTGTCCGTGACAAATTGTGGTGTATATATCAAACCTTTGTTTGATGTGAAAACAAGCTACAAAGATTAAATAAAAATTGATATATCAATTTTACTAAGAACAAACACTACTTTATATACAAATCTTCAATTTTGAAACATGACCAGTCTATCTCAAGTGTCCAAGGCTCTTTTAATCCACAGCAACATAAAACCTCATTACAAGGTATGACAAACTGGACCACAACAAAATTGAACAAAATAATATAGAATAGGATACAGAAGTCAAAACTGAGCAACTAAATTAAAATAGAAAAAAAGAAAATAGGAAGATATAAAATCCAATTGTATTAAGAGAAAGGGTCGAAAGCCATACTTCACTAGATGCTCCAAAAGTCCCTAGCTAATCCTATTTATACTTTATTCTATTATCCTAGACTTTATAAAATATTCTTAAATGATGGACCTTATTTAGATAACTACCTTAAATTCCTTCTAGAAGGTTCTATAGTAGGCCCTACTTAGATAACCACCTTAAGCCTTTTCTAGAAGGTTCCATTGTGGGCTCTACCTAGATAACTGTCATAAATTCTTTCTAGAATGTTACATGGTGGATCCTACTTGGTCCACTAATATAATTCTAATTTTACAAACTTCAATGGCTATAACTATCTATCCCTATATACAAATATCTTATCTATACCCTATTACAAATTCAATGCTTAAATAAAGTTGTTTTGAAGTTAATCTTGCAAAATTCAAAGCCTCTAGATCCAACAAATTTAAATATATATCGTAAAAACTTAACCAAGAGCTAAAGCAAAATAAAAACAAATTCAAGAAAAGGTGATAGAAGGATAATAATTACAAAGGTGGAAGGTAATTGTCTTCTTCACTTTGCATAGCACTACAACATTGTTGGAGTTAGTAGTTTGCCAAAAGGTTGTCTTTTAGCCATCCAAATGGATTTCCATACTATTTGCAATGGACTTCATATTGCTTACAACCATCTGATATTTCTACCTATTTCTTATTGTTGGTGGAACTATCAATGTAATCATCAATAAAATTACATAGTTCTTTCAAAAACTATATGAATTGGGGAGAGGATCTTAATACACATACATATAAGCAAGATAAAAAACCAATAATATATTTCATTCTTGTGATCACCACCTTCACCAATTGTGTGAGTTAAAGAGGCCTTCAAAGCTCTTGGCATGAAACATGGCTTGGAAGGGTAAAACAATATGATTTCTTAATTACCAAGATCTCCACATTTTTTGATCTCCACTCAACATTGATCACTATAAATCACCACAATAGTACAAAATTTGATTCTTATAAGACCTAAAGTTCTAAATGTATGTAATTTTTTATTTGTAGTGCTCATAGTGTGTTGTCTTCCAATTAGTGGTTTTGCATATCATTTTAGCATCATTTTTACAATATTCATTTTGGTAGTTTTTAAAGTTTTGTTTTTATTCAACCTTGTGGATTTTATGTGAAAGATTTGGTGTTTTGTATGAATTGGAATATATATTAAATAAACTCTATTGCTATAGCATAATTCTAGTGCTGATATCTCATGTTTCAACATCATGGTTTTATCCTTTGGTGTCTTTTTTCTTTTCTTTTCTGGATTTTATTATTTAATGTAGTTTTTGATCTTTTTTGTATGTTGTGGTTGGTTATGGAATTAAAAAACTAATAAGAAAAAAAATTGAAAAATTGATGAATATAAATTGTTACCACCTAATATTTTTGAAACTTCATTCTACTAACTAGGATTTGCATATTGACTAAAATAGATGAGAAGGATCAAATAAAATGAGGGAGATTAAGATAAGTATTATGAATTGGAAGGAGAAGGATGGGAGGGGGAGGATTAAGATGAAGAAGGCTAAAAATAGATAGAGTAGGGATTGATAATAAGGGAGGTGGAGATGATGGCTATGATTGTAATGATGGTTTTTGGGGATTATCCATTTTCTAATTATAGTTATAGGCTAGAAATAGAGAGAGTATGTCAATTTAGTATTGATTTAGTGAATAGATAGGTCATTTTAACATTTTTCTTTAAAAACACACATATTACATATTGAATCAAAGCAAGAAAAAATTCAATATAAAAATACAATTTAAAAATAAAGTTTATTTAATCATAAAAAAATCAATTTACAATCTAAATGTATATTTATTTAGCCAAAATTATAAATTATATAATTCATATAACCATATGAAATATACATTCTTACCTTAGAAAAAAAGGTTGAAGTATTAATAAAAATGAACAACAAAAAATATAAGTGTTTTTTTTTGCTAAAAAATCTGAAAAGAGTTACAAAATAAAAAAAAAATTGGCAAGTCACAAAACATAAACAAGAAGATTAAAAGTTGAAGATAAAAAGTTGGCCATGTTTAGAGATGCTTCAATTATGCATGTATTCACATTTCTACTCTGAAGTCCAAAAACCTAATATTATATTATAAAACATAACTAGTGATGTAATGGTGGTCACTCCTCGACCCTCCCCCAAGAGGGAATGAATGAATGAATGAATGAATGAATGAATGAATAATCATAATAGGATAATATGGGAAGGGAAGTTGTGGCTTCTCTCTCTTGTTGTCTTTCTTTCTTTTTTCACTTTTTCTTTTAACCGCAAATCAAGCCCTAAAACCCTAAAAGCCTCCCTCGGGACCCACACGACCCATCGGAAAATATCTGTCCAAGTGGACTGACTGACTGTCCGACGTGGATCCTCGTCACTCTGTGATCACGCTCCCGACTGCTCCCAATCATAATCGCACGCTGTTCCCACGTTCGTTCTCAGTTCCCCATATAATACAATACAGAAGTAAACTGGAAGCCGGGCCCCAGCGGCGGCGGCGGCGGCGGTGGCCGGAGAAGTGTTTGCAGGAGAAGAAGTAGAAAATGAAGAAGAAAATGAAGAAGAAGCATCGTTATGTTGTGTAGTGTGTTGAGTGTTGGGACTGGACTGGACGCCGTAGCAGGGCAGGGGGGGCTGGGCTGGGCTGGGCTGGGCTGCTGGTTAACCCTAATTGAGAGAGAGTCTTTCTTCCCCCTGGTGGTGGTGGTGGAGGGTGGGTTTGTGCTGTTGCCAAGCCAAGCCAAGTGAAACCAAGCTTAGTCTCTCTCTTTCTCTTCTTTCACCTGGAGCCTTCCGGTTCCAGTCTCGAAGTCAGGTTGTAGAGGAGGAGGAGGAGGAGGAGGAGTTGAGGGATTTGGCTCTAGATCGTGGGTTTTTTTTGTATATATATATATATATATATGAACTGGTGTCTGCGTTAGGGTTGAGGTTGGGTGGAAGGATTTTGTCACATTGCCAGGAGCAGAGGCAAGAGCGGTATTAGCCATGGTGTTGTACAATTTCAAGCAGATTACGGTTGTGCCTTCGGGCAAGGAGTTTGTGGACATTATCTTGTCACGAACGCAGCGCCAGACGCCTACTGTGGTGCACAAGGGCTATGCTATCAATCGGATTCGGCAGTTTTATATGCGGAAGGTGAAGTACACGCAGACGAATTTTCACGAGAAGATTTCCACCATCTTGGAGGATTTCCCTCGTCTCGATGACATCCATCCTTTTTACGGGGAGTTGCTGAACCATTTGTATGACAAGGACCATTATAAGCTCGCACTTGGGCAACTTAATACGGCTCGCAACCTTATTGAGAAAATTGCCAAGGATTACGTACGTTTGTTGAAATATGGCGACTCGCTTTATAGGTCAGTTTTAACCGTCTTTGTTCTGTATTTTGATTGTGATTTTTTTGATTTTTTTTGCACTGGTTATTGAGGGTTTAGGGTTTAGGGTTTAAGGTGATTAGAGTCATTTTAGTTCTAGTTTGGAGTTGGATTTCGTTCATGGAAGCCTTGCTTCACTAACCTTTATTCTACAAGAGCAGCATGCCGTAGGTGATGCAATGTCGAACTTGGGTATCAAGGGTTTTAGCAATCAAGGATATTGAACATATTTTTAGTGCTTTTCGTTTGAGCTTCGTTAAACATGAGTTCTTCGCAGGTGCAAGAATTTGAAGAAAGCAGCGCTCGGTAGGATGTGCACTGTGATGAAACGTGTTGGTCCTAGTTTGGCATACTTGGAGCAGGTTAGGCAGCACATGTCAAGGTTGCCATCAATTGATCCCAACACTCGAACCATTTTGATTTGCGGCTATCCCAATGTTGGCAAGAGCAGCTTCATCAACAAGATTACACGTGCCGATGTAGATGTGCAGCCCTATGCTTTCACTACCAAGTCTTTGTTTGTTGGCCACACCGATTACAAGTACATGCGGTGGCAGGTAGAGGATTCATGCATCTGTTCTCATGATTAAGTTCGGATCATTCATCTGATCATTTGATTCCTAATTTCCGATCATTTTTCTGCGGTTAAATTTTCAATGTTTGTATTGATATTCAGTATTGGTTATCAACCGATTTTGTTCTTATATTCACTAACCAATTAATGTCCTACAGGTAATTGATACTCCTGGAATTTTGGATCATCCTTTGGAAGAGTGCAATACTATCGAGATGTTGAGTATTACCGCGCTTGCGTATCTTAGAGCAGCCGTTCTTTTCGTTGTCGATTTGTCTGGAAATTGTGGATACACGATTGCCCAGCAAGCAGCACTATTTCATTCGATTAGAGCTCTTTTCGCGAACAAGCCTGTCATCATCGCGTGCAACAAAACTGACCTCCAGCCATTCGAGACTCTTCCAGAATCTGATAAGAAACTCATCGAGGAGATGAGGAAAGAAGCTGCTAGAGCTGGGGCAGGCTTGGTTGATGGAGCTCCGCCCGATGAGGAGAATTGCATGTTGACCATGAGTACCATGACAGAGGAAGGCCTTATTAAAGTCAAGAATGCTGCGTGTGAGAAGCTACTACAAATGCGTGTAGAGATGAAGATGAAGTCGAAGAAGATCAACGACTGTCTGAATCGGATACATGTTGCTGTCCCCAAACTAAGGGACCAGAAAGAACGTCCTCCTGTTATACCTCAGGCAGTTTTGGAAGCCAGGGCTGCTCAGAACAAGGCTGCTGAAAACAAAAAGAAATTGGAGAAGGATCTTGAGAATGAGAATGGCGGTGCTGGTAAGATTTTATTAGTTTCATTTTTTTTCTCCTTCCCTGGTGGTTTATTTAGTAGTGTTTCAATAGAGACAATGTGAATGGTAATACTGGAACTATTACTATTAGTACAGATTGTTTTTACATGTACAATTCTTTTTTACTGGGGTTTTTACTATTATTCAGTGTTTACAGATGCTCACCAACGTACGCCTGCGGTTGTGCTATTGCAGGGGTGTACTCCGCGAACTTGCACAAACATTATTTGTTGTTGGATCCCGACTGGAAGGACGACATTGTTCCTGAGATTATGGATGGTCATAATATCGCTGATTTTGTCGATGCGGATATTCTTCAAAGGCTAGACGAATTGGAAAGGGAAGAAGATGAGCGTGCCGCAGCGGCAGAGAATGGAATGGACGAAGATGAGGACATGAGTGACCAGGTCGGTTTTTATCTGCAGTCTTTAATCTATGCTTTGATGAAGATTTGTAATTTTACTACTGAGAACGCCATAGGGAACTCGGGATCATTATGAATAGCTTCGTAGTCTATGTTTTCAACTTGGAACTTAATGAGATCTTGCTGCGGTGTTGTGGACTAATGTCGATCGAATTAAACAGGACTTGACACCCGAAGAAGCTGAGGCTCTTGCAGCAATTCGGCGGAAGAAAAAGCTCATGTTGGCTGAGCACAGGGCGAAGAAGAAAACTGCTGATAATAAACCTGTGGTGCCCAGAAGACATGATGTAGAACGACAGTTCAATACCAGTAGAATGGGCAGACATCTTTCAAGCTTAGGTTTGGACCCTACTGCTGCAGTGAATAGAGCTAGGAGTAGGTCCGCTGCTGGCACAAGAAGCAGGAAGAGAGACAGATCTGAAGCTAAAGGTGATGATGACATGGAAGTGGATGAGCAAGCAAACAAGAGAATGCGTTCTCGAACTCGATCCTTGTCTCGGCCACACAAGGAAGCACTTCCAGGTAAAGTTTCTCCTAATACTGACCTCATCATGTTAAATCTTCTGTTTGTAACTAACTTGCAGTTTTAGTCTTTACTTTCTTGTAAACTTTTAAAACTCTCTAATGGTGCCATATTCGTGTCTTTGCAGGTGAGGGTTTCAAGGACAGTGCTCAAAAGGTTAAGGCAATGAAGATTGGTAAGAATGCCGTGAAAGAAAGGAATAAGGATGCTAGGAAGGGAGAGGCTGATCGTGTTCACTACAACAAAAAGCCCAAGCATTTGTTTTCCGGCAAAAGGGGTACTGGAAAGACTGACCGAAGGTAGTTGGCTTAGATTAGTTCATTTCACGAATTTTTTTCTTTGGCTTAGAATTTGTATTATCGTAGATTGGCGCTTCCTGATTACGAAGGTCTTAAGTAATCAGAGTAGGGATAAGTTGGTTTAAATGTAACGTTAATTTTTTTGGGTCAGTTTTCAAGACGTCTACTTTCACGAGAAAAGTAGAAAGTGGACCATTGGTGAAGTACTTACAAGTTTCTGCAATTTTGATGCCAAATTTGAAATACCACATGAATCTTAACTTCGAATACGGCACCATTGGAGAGTGCCATATTCTCGTGAAACAACAAACGTTTCATTTTGAGTTTCTAAGTAGAGAAGTCAACATGATATGTGAGAGGTAAAACATATTGAACTCAAAGTATCACAAAGTAAATGAAGTTATTTGACAGTTTTGAAATTTTGCTCTAGGATATGGTGAAATTATATTCTAGGATATCGTGAATTTTTGCTCTAGGATATGGTGAAATTATATTCTAGGATATCGTGAATTTTTGCTCTAGGATATGGTGAAATTATATTCTAGGATATCGTGAATTTTTGCTCTAGGATATGATGATATTACTCTAAGATATGGTGAAATTATTGCTATTATGGTTATGGAATTTTGTTCTTTTTTTTCCAAATTTACGAAATTAAATTTAGAGAGATAAGCACCTACATTCTAGTTATGTGATCTATTAATCAAACAATACCATTGTTAAACTTTGGAGTGTTAGTGTTAAATACTCTTAATTAAATCCAACAACCAATAAAATTTTACAATAATTATTTAGATGTATCTAAATCGAAGTTGTAAAATAGGAAGTGTACAATTTTTTGATTATTAAATAAATTTTTAAATTACGAACAACAGTGCACAATAGTTAGTGGAACCATATTGTTATAAATTCTTTCTTATTTGTAAAACTATTGTATTATTTTCATATGTGATGTAACAATTATATGGATAATAAATTTTAGGAATCATGACAATATAGTGTATAGAAGTACAAACTTTTTAAGAAAAATTAAAATTACAAAACATTATTAAACAATATTTACATCTATTTTATAATGACATTACAGCTCTCATATTTTTATATTAAAAGCATATTTATGGTGAAAGCCAACAATCTCAACATTTCTAAAATCTAAAAATTATCCATTGACTTTTCATCCATCACTAATTCATTTTATTATTTCTTGTATAATCAAGCGACTAAGAATCAACTTTCCTATAGTAATGTTTGCCCATTATCAATGCCACTAACCCTTCCAACTGATGATGTTGGTTTCACATCTCAGATTGTTAATATGGAATTTTGTCCCCTTCCCTTGCATATGGGCAACAAGAGGACAATGGGTGGGGCAAAACAAAAACTAATATTGGTCATTTATTTGTGAGCATGAGGTAAAAATGGGATGGTACCAAGTGGGCACCTTTTTTGTCACTACTCTTGAGTTCACAAATATTGAACAAACAACAAGCAAAACTTTTATCCAAACTATCTCACAAAAGTGAGAATATGTTCAATGATATTTATTCACAAATAAAATCTAAAAAAATAATTTCATTAAACCAATCCAATTATGTTTGGTCTATAACTTCGCCTTGGATTTTTTCTTGCAACCTTCTCAACCTAAAATAAAATTAATTGACCAAAAAACAATCTCCACAAAAATAGTCCATTTCTTTATTTGTTTATTTATTTTTCCTTTTAACAAATTGTGCAAAATTGGAATTCAGACGATGATAACAAGATTAATTCGAACAACAAGATTTGAGGGTAATGAGCAACAAATGCGAAGTCATAGCATGTGAATCCATGAAGAATGAAGCGGCCGACCCAGGAGACCAACCACGCACTGAATGAAAGATAGTGTGTCTCAAGTTGCTGAACTAACCTACCAAAAGACACCAAAACCAGGCAACTCATTGCGATACACTACAACAAAAAGCTGCAGTTTTTGTCATTGGGTTATGCTTCGAATGTGGGAAGCTTAAGAATGAATTCATGAGATCAAGGGACAACCCCTGTAGCTAGAATCTAAAATGCGGCGTAGTAAGCGACATCTGAATACAGCATGTGGCGGTGAAAGAATTGGTGGGGTGGAGTGGGGTCGTCGAGGAATGTACAAAGTGCAGCAGTGTCGGAGCTTTAAACCCTAAATCTGAACTCATCTCATCTCATCTCAGCTCTGCTGGCGATGGCGGTGCTAGTGAGCTTCGTCGCGAGGTCTGCAAAAAGGATCTCGTTCCAAGTATCCGGAATGCCGGGCAAGCACCAGTGTAAACAATCCTGGCCACTCTTCGCACCGCCATACTTGGACACATGGGTCTCGCCGCGCTGGAGCGATAGCGACGTGATGTTGAGCAAATTCACGGTGGTGCCGAGGATGGCACTCTCCGCATGTGGGTCGATGCGGTTGCCCTCTTGCACTTGCTTGTCACCCTCAAACCTGATGGTGTCGCATGTGCCGCCAGTGTTCCAGTCCCCGTTTCGGAAATGACGAGGTGACAGGGATCGATAGTAGACTATCTTACTGGTGTTTTGTGTCTTCCTGTGTGCGAAATGCACGACGTTGTGCACCGTCATGTTGTATGCTTGCGACACAGTGAGATTGGCTGGCTTCCCCTGGTGGTAGAAATCATACCTATTCAGCCTCATCTTGCCCCCGTTCCAGTGGTGTCCTGAGTTCAGCACCACCACGTCCAGCTGGTGGAAATGATCCTCCAGGAACTTCACCGGCCGGTCGATGTGGAGGGCGTTCCGTGTCTCCGGGTCCGATGCATTGATCGGCTGCACCCTGGCGAGAGTCACCGTCCACTTGAAGACAATGGTAGTGTTGGTCGCGTCGAACCTGTATGCGTACCCATTCGGCCTTCGTTCTCCTTTTAGCGTGTGGAAATTGAACTGCTTGCCAATGTCTGTCATGGCAGTGGTGTTTTTGCCGCGCGTGAGCATGCACAGCAGGGATTGTAACTGTTGGTGGCCGAGAGAGTCTCCTACGATGGCCAGCACCTTGTTCCGTAACCTGGTGGACACATCGCAGCACATCGTACTTTAAGATCACTGAACCTGAAATCGAGCATGAGAAATGGGTGAAGGAGTAGGGCGTCGAAGAAAGCTCACGTTTCCAAGACAGCGGAAGCATTGAAGACCGGTAGGTTGCATCCCGCTGGTTGCCACCGGTAGCGGTCGTATTGCTTGTCAGGGTGCTTGTTGAGCCGGCATGCGAAGACAGGGGAGAGCCACATCTTGCACTCGAGGCCGGAATACAATGGCCGCGAATTGTCCTTCACCCAACTCCCAACCGAATAGTCACACTTCTGTGAGGTATTCTTCGCGTTTAATGAGTTAATCCCTTGAGTACTTGCAACCTCGTCGGCTTCAACTTTCATAGCTGACGAGAGGTTCTTTGCGTCAGTAGCATTCAAACTATGGTTAGTTGCCGATGCACCCAACGATTTTAATGTGTGCCTCTCAGTAGAATAGGCCTCAGTGGTCGTATTACCCGCGGTTTGCTTCTCTGTTGATAACTCAGACGACTCAACGAACTTTTCAGCTGCAGTTCGTGAGGGCTCTTCGTCAAGCTCATCTTCAGCCTCATCTTTCAGAGTCGATGAGAGACTATTTGGCTTAGCGTCGATAGTATTCAAACTACTATGGTTAGATGCGGATGCACCCAACCGTTTTGATGTGATCCTGTCCTTGGAGTAGGCCCCAATGGCCGTCCTGTTTGCGGTTTTCTTCTCCACTGGTAACTCAGACGGCTCGACGAGATTCTCAGCAGCAGACTCGAGGGGTTCTTCCTCGGCTGCATCGTCTGCTAAGTTAGCTTCATCTTTCACAGCTGTCGAGAGATTCTTAACCTTGGCTGCAGTAACATTCGAACTGCCTAGGTTAATGGCTGATTCTACCAATGGTTTCGATGTGAGCCTCTCCTTGGAAAGTGCCTCAACGGTTTTCTTCCTTGCTGGTGTCTCAGATAACTCGTCGAATTTCTCAGCTGAAATTTGTGGGAACACCTCTTCAGCTTCATCCTCTGCTTCAATTTTCATGGCCGCCGAGAGATTCTTTTCCCTGGCGGCAGTAGCATGCGAACTGCTATGGTTAAATGTTGATTCACGCAACGGTTTCGATGTGCGCTTCTCTTTGGGGTAGGTCACAATAATCGTTTGGTTTCGCCTCCCCGCTGGTGTCCCAGATGACTCGACGTTATACTCAGCTGCAGTCTGCGGGAGCTCCTCATCATCTTCAGCTTCGTCTTCAGCGTCATCTTTCATAGCCGTCGAGAGATGCTTTGCCTTCGCGGCAGTAAAATTCGAACTGTTACGGTTAAATGCTGATTCCCCCAACGGTTTCGATGTGCGTCTCTCCTTGAGGTCTGTCTCAATACGCGTTTTGTTTTGCTTCTCCGTTAGTGATCCAGACGATTCGACGTAATTATCAGCTGCAGTCTGTGAGGACTCTTCTTCATCATCAACTTCAGCTTCATCTTTCGCAGCTGTGGAGAGAGTCTTTGCTTTGGCGCTGGTAGCATTGGAACTACTATAGCTAAATTCTGATTCACCCAACGGTTTGGATGGGCGCCTCTCCTTGGCATAGGCATCAATGATCATTTGAGCCCGCTTCTCCGCCTGTGACTCAAATGATCCGACCAACTTCTCTGCTGCAGTCTCCGGGGGCTCTTCTTCAGCTTCATCGTCAGATTCATCGTCAGATCCATCACTCACAGCCGACGAAAGATTCTTCGCCTCAGCACTAGTATCATTCGAGTTGCTATGGTTAGATGCTGATTCACCCAACGGTAACGATGGGTACCTCTCGTTGAGGTTGGCTTCAATCGTCGTGTTGTCTGCGAATTGCTTCTCTTCTGGTGTCTTAGATGATTCGGCGAGCTTCTCAGTTGCAGTCTTGAGGGGCTCTTCATGCTGCGTGGTGGAATTCAAGCTAGAGTTCACCAGCAGAGCCGCCTCATTCTCGGCCAAGATCAATTCCTCAGATTCTCGAGCCGAGGTTTTGTTGGAGCGGTGCAAGCTCTCGAAGGGAGAGATAGTCTCAAGTTCACCGGTGTTGGTTTCATTTTTCGAAACATGCACCTCGCCAGACTTTACATTACCCTTGACTCTCTCAACTTGTTCATAGTCTGCTGATGTCGATTCTTCAGGGATTACCTCTGAGGCGTTCTGGATGAACTCTTCAATTCGAGTGCCTGCTCGAGTAGGTGTGCTGTCTCTCTCGATTAACTCGCCAGAATCTGTACATATCCATCCACATTGAATTTCAATGTGTAAAAAAATTATGTTGATTTGGGAGAATTCGAATTCTCAATCACTGTTTTTGTAGCTATTGTACGGGTTCAAAATGCCAGCAAAAAAAGAAAAAGAAAAAGAAAAAAACAGAAAAACCCTCATATAATTGGTGCTGTGGCCCACCACCCCTCCGTAGATCCAATCAGTGAACCCTGCTCGTTCCAGCTTACCAGCTTCTGAGGAAGAAGATTCGTCGGTGTCTTCATCGTCTTCACTCAATCATCACATGCACGACACAATGAAGTCAGTTCACCACCACTCGCTTCAGTGATATTGTAAAGAGTGATCCAAAGCTCATTGTAGCGGTGAACTCAAACACGATTACCGACACGATTCGAACTCTTCATAAGTCACGCACCTTCTTTCGATCTGATCAATGGCACAGTTCTCAGAAACGGCCGGGACTCGTAACTCTTGGCCAGCTCGTCGAGCTCACTTCGAAGCTCTGTAACCATGGATCAACGACGATTGGTAAAAGTCAGATTGCGGACCCAGACAGGGTTATTCTCAGAAATGTGGTGATGGCAAGACTCAGGTGCTCCCGAAAGATGCAAATTTCGAGAACGAAATGTTCAAAGACTGCCAAGCGTGTGCAAGAAACAAACGAGCATAAACGTCGAAACTTGTCGATCAGTGAAGAATGCAGAGAGGATCCGAGCGCCAGGATCATGGCAAAAGAAACTCGTGATGCAGAGAAACCCCCTCAACGCAATTGAATGGTGGAAATTGTGCTCCTGTATTCAAGGAAGAGAGAGCGTCAGGGGCCAGGAGAATGTACCACGATTGAGAATTGGTGTACCGACGGCATTGGAGCTGGTGAAGGGCATCGCTTCCCAAAGCAGCACCAGAGCCATACTGGCAACCATCGTCAGCATCAGGCACGTCGTTTGTTTCCCCCGGCTCATCCCACACACAACACCAGACTCTTTACCCCGACGGCTGTGGTGGTAAGGCTCCATCGCGTCCACTCGCTTACTCCACAACCTCCTCGTCTCCTCACTCCTCACCACATCCAACACCTCTCAACGACACCGAAGCCTCTCACGCAGAAAACCAAATCCAATAAACACATCTCTCCTCTCGAAACCGCACCGTCTGACTCACTCCCTCACTCACTCCCTCGTAAAACTCCCCCACGCTGGAGTCTGAATCACCCCAACTGCTCCGCCCCACATCACCAGTCTCATCAATTCCGCTCCTGCTCGACAATCCAACAACATCAACAACTCATAACGTCCACAACCTGATCAATGCCACCAAGCTCTCGACAGAATTGGCCAAATTCCATCGGGATCGTCTATGGAGCAGCAGAGCGAAGTCATGAAGTGCGTGACAATAGAGACTGCGGTGAATTTGTAGCGGGGGGGAAGGGAGTTCACGACGTGGTGGTGGTGGTGTCGATCACGCAGTCAGCGGCTCGTCGCGCGGGCTGAGAGTCGGCGCGTGCTCGCTCACGAGGGAGTGCGAAGTGGTTCTCTCTCTCTCCCCCCAAATGTAGCCCCCCCCCCCTTCATTTATTTATTTGTATATATATGTATATATGAATGTACTTTGAGGGACTTGTTTGGTCTTTTGGTGTCTAGGGTTTAGGGAATAGTGATTCACACTTGATTCTTCTTCTTCTTCTCATGGAATTATGATCATGGTGATAATAATTCTATGTGTTGGTTTGTATTGAATGGTATTTAGGTTCTGAGGTTGAAACTTTTGTGTCTAATTGTGACATTCCGATCTTGCCAGATGGAATGTAGGATGATGTTGTAGTGTTGTAGAGGTTTATTTGAATTTTTAAAAAATTTGTGGTTTTTTGGTTTTGTTGGAAATGAAATGGAGTTGAATTAATACCCAATGTTATGGAGGGAAATGAATAAATAAAAGGTTTAATGTTTTATGTGTTGTGTTTATTTTACTTGTATTTATTTTATTAATAATTTCCTCCGCTAGTCCTTTAGAGATTGTGCTAACTACTAAAAGAAATTATTATAAAAATAGCTTATTTAATATTATCAAATTATATGGCTTTTAATACTGTCTCAAATTGAATGTACACGGTGGTTCTTGACCATCTATTTTTCATTTACTAATGAAAACACCGAGGACACTTTTCAGTTTTTTGTTTTGTTTTGTTTTGTTTTTGTTTTTTTTCGTTTTGCAAGGTACAGAATTTTTGGTGTACTTCACATCTTTAGTTGGATTATTGTGCTCTGACTTTTCAACTTACAGTACAAGTTGCATGTCAATAGGTGATTGTAAAACATTTCACAGGATTTTTATCTTTTTTTTCGTTTTCATTTCTTTTTGAAAAGAAATATAAATAAACACGCAAACGGACCTGCATCAATGTGCACCCAACATAATTATGGTGAAGTATTTTTATTTTGTTTTATTTTATTTTTTCAAGATTTGTAAAATAGGATGTTAACTGCACATACAACTGTATTCAATTTCAATTTTAAAACATATGTGTAACATAATTCCTATATTGCACATAATTAATCAAGAAATCAAAATTAAATGCTGTAAAAAATAGTTTTGAAAAGAAAGATTGATCTTTTATAATTAGGTAGTTTCCATTATTTCACATTTAATTTCATCAAAAAAAAGAGAGAAGAAATAAAATAAAGAATTATGTAACTACATTAATCTTATTTTTTAAACACTTTGGCTTGAATATAAAAACATGCAAAATCCAAAAAAAAGAAAAAGAAAAAAGAGTACCAATTAAAAACTCAAAATAGCATAAACAAAGATAGATAGATACAAAAATATATATATATATATATATATATATATATATATATTAACACCAAAATAAACTTTAGAAAACAAAGCAAGGAACATCATTCTTCAAGAATGTCTAACAAAACCAAGCAAACTTTTCTTTGGTAAGTTTGACAACAATTTGATTGATTTCATAGCAAGAGTATGGGTGCCACACAAGGGCAATGTCATGAAGGTCCCAATCTTCACAAAAGAGGGGGGAGTGTGGGGCCATGGGGGATAATTGAGGGGGCAAGGGAGGGGACCCCAATGACTCCAAGCCAATCATCCATTCTCCTTTCAACCACCCATTACACACATACACACACACATATATACATACCCGCTCTAAATAAATAACCAAACAAATCAATCAACACAATATGAACACAAAATGAGGGCTACATATTAGCAGTGCCACCACTCTCACACACCATTATGCTCCACTTCATCATTCCAAAGCTAAAGTGCATGTGTGCATGTGTGAGAGAGAGAGAGTGTATGTCTGTCAAAGTACGTGAGTGAGTGTGTGTGCAAGCTCTATCAATCACTCACTCACTCACTCCCTCTTTGTTGTTCTTGTTGTTGGTGTATTATTGTTGTTGTTGTTTGTTATTGTTAGTTGTAGCACAATAATAAGTTGGGGTATTATTGATCTTACCACACAATGGGCCCAGTCTGTCTGATGTTTTGTTTTATGTGCCCTTGTGTGGCTCCCTTTGCGACTCCTTCCTCTTCCACAAATCCTCACTTTTGTTTAGATATATGTATATATATATATATATATATATATATTGAAGTGGGAAGGGATCCATGGGAACTGTGAATGTTGAGTGGGGAACAGTGAAATGTGTTTTATTGGAAAAAAAATGGAAATAGTCTTATTATTATTATTATTATTATTTGTTTCATTGTGAGCAGTGTGTTGGTTGATTTTATTGAACAGAAAGAAGAAGAAAAGGGTAGAATAAAGTAAAATATTCAGGTGATTGTAATTGGAACTAAGAGACAGTTAGATTGAGATGTATATAGGTGTTTAATAAATTGGATAAATATAACAAAATATATACAAGCATACAGAAGTAAGTCCTCATGATATATGTTAATTAAGCTGTTTTTATGTGTTTTTGTAAGTGTGGTCTCATTTTAATAATCTTAAACGAATCAACTGTGTGCTGGCTGTTCTGTACACTCTAATAATGTGATTATCACATTGTAAGATTTAGAATTTGTGAAGAAAGAGCCAAAGATGCCATAAAACAATAATTGAAATACTTTGCAGAACTGTCATGCACTATGTTGAAAATTTATGTCTATATCTACATATGCATGTAAAAACATGCCATGTGGTAAAATATTGTAAATGATATGAGTGGCTTTTGATTCTCTTTTACAAACACCATAAATGGATCATTTCTACCCTATAATATGTCATTGTTTTGACATGTTTTTTTACAAAAGAAAAGTATGAAGACCAAGATTTCAAACTACAATTTTCAGACAACATAGGACGAATTAATTTTTAAAAAGAATTTACTAATAGTAAGTTATAAAAAAAATGACGAAATAAATTTGGTAGGGGAAAAATTAATGTAGCAATACATGATTATTTTATTTCATTTTATTTAACACTTTAATTCAAATATATCATTCAAGCCACTATTTAAGTAGTCTAATACTTTTTTTTGGTTTGATATCAAATGCCACCACACACAAATATAATAAAAACACAATGTGATGTGAAGAAATATTCTTAGACTTACTACAACTATATATTTATCTTTAAAGACTCAATTCAAAAATAAAATACAAATCTTTATAACCTTATTAAAGATAAAATATTTATTAACAAATATAAACAACGTAACATAAACAGTTAGAGACTATTTTTGCACGTTCTATCAAAATGTTACAGTCATTATTTAATGTAATAAAATTTTATGTTAATTGAATCTATAGATATACTCATATAGACCAATTTTACAAGATTTATACACATACACATTGTATGTTAAGTACATTATGTTTACAATGTATATTTGTACATGTAAACATATATTTATGTGTATGTGTATGTTTACAAACATGCACTTACCTATTGTAAACATAATGTATATTTGTACATGTAAACATATATTTACATAATATCTTTGTAATTAAAAGAAATATTCTTAAATAAAAAAAAATATTTACATTAAAAAAAATTATTAAAATTTACAAATATTTTAATTAACTTGAAATAATTTATTAATATGTTATTTTTAAGCTTATACATACATTTTTTTAAAGTAAAATGTTATAATTTAAAATTCCTATAAATTAGTAAATATAAAAAATTATATTATTGAAGGATATATATATATATATATATATATATATGTTTTATTGGTTTTATTTTAAATAATCTAAAAATTAGTATTATGTTCACTTGTATCATTAGCTATTAAAATCTTTACATTGCCACATTTCTAAGTTAGTTTGGTGTAACAAGCCTACTACCTTTTTACTTTTTAATGTCTAAATTTAATTTTTTATAAAAATATTATAAGTAAGTTTGTAGAGATATAGATTATGTTACTTACAGTTAAATTATATATATTTTTTGAATTTTTTTGATTAAAAGTATTGTAAATAATTTTCTAAGTGTTTTAAGATATTACTGGTTTATAATCATTATAATTTTATTTGAATAAAAAAAAAATTAACACAACTAGTTGTATCAAAGAATTAATAATTGAAACTTCAATTAGACATATATTTAAAAATATATTATCAATAATAAGATTCAATTTCTAATTATATGTATTATATAAATTATTATTTTAAAAAAATATTCTTCTTAAAGAAATTATTTTAAATTTTGATTGCCTTAAAATTTCAATTTGATAAAAGAATCTATAAAATCTATGTATTTTTAAGATTACATTTTATTAATAAAATATAATAAAAAAAATTTAAACACAACTTGACATGTTTGAATTATAATAATATGCCCTTCTTTAAACATAAGAAAACTTCAACTATAAGTAATGTTTTTTTTTAAAACAATTATATAAACATATAAAATTTAATATCATATGCAAGATAATACAAATGATAAAATAGAAAATTAAGTAATTTTAAGAATAATGAATAATTTCAAACTTAAAATATGATAATAATATTTTAATAAATAGCTCTGTTTTGGAAATATTATTCATTTATTATCATTGATGTAGGCGTATATAATCTATATTTTAATGAGTAAATATACATATATATATATATATATATATATATAGAAATCAATTGTACAATACTAATGTATTATAACATAATAATTTTAATTATGTAATGATAACTCAATATTTACAAATATGTTGTATTTTTTAAAACAATTTAAAAATTTAATAAGCATTAAAATTATTCTAAGACACATATATAAGATCTAAAATATATATAAATTACTGTTGGTAATATTAAAATAAATTTTAATATTTTATGAAAATATTATATAGAAAATCCTATTTGCTATCTTCAAATATTGTTTGATTTTATAGTTATTTTAAATTTAAATAATTTTTTTGTTAACAACTAAAATTCTTAAAATATAATGTAATCATATTAACAATATTTAGATTTCAAGCTTTAAAAGACACACATTACTTTCAATTATTATGTGATAACTTTATTTAAAAATTTAATAGATAATTAATATTAAAGATTTTTTTTATCTTAACAAAGACTATAAAAGATAAG